TGTTGCTGCGGTTGCTGTTGCTGCTGCTGTTGTTGCTGCTGTTGCTGTTACTGTTACCGTTGTTGCTGTTTTTGGCTAGGCCTGGCCGTCTTGCCATTGTTGTTCAGGATCGGCTGTTCAAGGGTCATGGTAGAGGTGTCCGCCTGGTGTCCGACCGTACCACTGGAATCAGGAGCATTGTGGATTAACAGCTGGCAAAAGAGCATAAGATGGCATATAATGGCCTGTTCAGTCTGTGCCTCCGCTGCCACCGGCGCGTCCATCGAGCTGGGCTCCTTCTCCCAACAGGGCGGGCAGCTGGGCAAACACCATCAAACCAACACCTTCAAAGCACACCGGTCCTCGTAACCCCACTCGTTGAACTTTTTTCGCTTGGGTCGCCTGGGTACAAGACTGAAAACGAACCAGCCGCTTCATTCAAGCCTTGGCGACACCCCTTGAACATATTTGCAGCATGCCAGGCCGAAGCGAGAATGGGCCCACCCTCCCGAATCCGACGTTCGTGTAACCAAGTGGCGCATCGCCATCCTTCGAAGAAAGGGTGACAGCCTGGTTTGCCTCCGCGCGTGCCTTGCGCATGCGTGCCTCAGAGGCGACAGATGGAACCGCGCCACAAGCGAGTGGCATTAAGAGCTTATGTCCGGGCTGGGACAGCGACGCGAGTCTTGAGGACCGGCTCCTTCCCCCTTGCTTCACCGCGGCGCACACGCGCCAGCGCCATGGCCTTGGTTTGCGTGTAACAGCCCAACTCAAATCCAGGTCCAAATCGTGGAGTCGATCCGCGTTTCAAAGATGCAACCGTCTCTTAATTCAGTGGTGTTTTCACCCACATTTTGGAAGGCCTTGGGTACTTCAGACGAGATTAAGTAAAGGAATCCACGGGCGCAGTGATCGCAGTGCGGATATAAGCAGGAACGTTTGCCTGGAGTGCGGGCGAGAGCTTCGTTGGGCAGAGCTACCCCCCCTCTGTCAGAAAGACAGAAAGAACCGGAAAAGCTACTTACTAGTAGCGCTGCATTCAAGCATTTGCATGCAACTGTGCCACATACAGACGCACACGCTGTTCAACATGTTCGTGCTGCCATCATCTTGCAGCTTGACACAGGAGAAGCGGCGCGAGGCAGCATCTGTCAATGCTATCACCCTGCCCACAACTCGGTATGGTGCGATGAGCTTCGACTATGGAGAGGCTCGGGCAGGACTCTCCAGGGGCTCGAGGAAAGTAACCAATTCCTCCAACCTGGCATCTTCAACTGAGTTCGGTAAAGACCAGACGAAAGACGGATCACAGGCGGTCTTTCAGAAAAAGCACCAGTGAATCTCTAAGGTGTGAGCATGTCTATAATCGTGGCTTCATCTTTCTCGTCCTCTTGGGCTTCCTCCTCAGCCGTCTTTTTGGGGTCTTCGGCTGCCTGCTGCTTTCACGAGACTTTGGAAACACTCTGCATCATCTACTCAACATGCAACTGCAGGTCTGTAAAGCCTGAACTAGCTCCAATGGAACCTGGCTTTTGACGCTGGACCCATGTGAGAATACAACCGAACAGCAAAGCTGCATGTCAAAGCGAACTTAGTGCTCTGACCCTTTTGAAGATTTAGCTTCTTGGAAGTTGCATCACGGCAAGTATGTGGACATGCTAACCCATTGTCAAAGGGCCTCCTTCTTTTCCGCTCCTTCTCCATCATCTTTGTCCTCATCGTCCTGGCTCGACTCTTTCAGCAGCGCACGCATTCTCATTCTTCAGTTAGCAGGTTAGAGGTCGTGCCTGCGCAGCCGACTTGCTCACATCACTCCATTTCTACATACAAGTCAATCGCCATGGAACAAAAACAGATCGGACCAGCGCGCTTTTCGAAGGCACATCGGCTGTACAACTGTTTTCTGCACTGCCGTCTAGCCTGCGCTTAAACGACAAGCACCCATAGGGAGCTTGTGCTTCAGCAGTTTCCATGTTCGCTATGATCTCGGGGGCGCATCTCCCATGGAAAGATCTTCGCAGATCCACTGATTCTCACCGAAGCCGCGGAGCTTCGGACCTGTCTACGAGATGAACGAGAAGCCGACGCGACTCCAGACATCCTAGCCGTCCCGGCCCATCTCACTGGACAACCTCTAAGCGCGACGCTACAAGGTCGATGTCGCCGAGCAAGGTCGCGAGACTTCCAGGCTGCAAGCGGAAGCTGGCATGCACGATGAGCGGTTTCAAGGTGAATCGCGACCGCGAAACTTTCCTCCAGCGACAGGGGCGTACTAGAGGATCACAGCTCAGTGGTTCTTGGGCCGTGTGTGCAAAGCTTACTTTCAAGACGCAGAGGCCAAGATGCGAATCTAGAGGCAGCATAAGGGCCATCCGCCGAGCTGTTTCAAAGGCTTCGGGATCCGAAAGCCAGATTTTCAGCAGGCACTTGCCAGAGATCACCACATGCACGACCTTGTGCTGCTTTAAACCGCAAAAGCAGGCGCTGCCCGGAACTCACCCTGAATGCCAGGGTGTTCATGTATCGGCGAAGTGCATCTGCATGTTGGCTGCTGACCACTTTTTAAGAATGCTCCCACATCTTGTCCCCTTCTGCCTGGGGGCATCCATGCATCCCTTGCTCGTATACCATGCAGCGACCCGCTGCCAACAGAGCCAGCCTGTGTGGCGAACGGTCAAAAACCATATCGTGCTAATCTTCACATGTGCGCCTGCATGGGCGGGATGCTGCGGGCGCCGAGGCTCGAGGAAAGAGGTAACACGCTCAAAGATGTCCTCCGAGAGCCTTTCAATCGTCGGAAAACCCTCGTGCATCCCTTGCGCTGTCGGCTGGTCTTGCATGGATCTATATGCCGCTTACAAGGCTGGCCCAAGGTTTCTTTTCGGCAAAGCTGGCTCAGCGGCGTCAAGTGGTCGCCATGGCCCTCCCAGAAAAATGACATTGCTGGCAGCTAGCACCGGCGACTTCATGACATTGCTGTCTCGGGTATGTAACAATGTAATGTGGATCTAGAAGCCATCAGCTTCACCAAGCAGTTCGCATGTGCACCTAGGCTGTCTCGTTCTGAACAGCATCGCCTGCTTTGGGACAAGCGCTGCGGCTCGAAACTCCATGCACCTCGTGAGTCCGGCAACTCGGCAACTCGAGCTTCTGCTTCTGACTCGGAACCTTATAAGTCCCAATGCATGCACATTAGTGTGCAAGACACTCAGGTCCTCCTCCTCACCTTCAGAGTCCGGACCCAGGTTTTTGGCCATGGCCGACAAACGATTTGCTGCTGTGTCCTGGGCTGTAACATCATACTTTGTTCAATAACCGCGCTAACCGAAAGTGCCGGGGATCCCAAGCCTGGCCCCAAGCCCGAAAAGCAAAGCCGATTCACTTTCAACACTTCCATAGGTTTCAGGCTTCCTTGGCTCACCTGCCTTTTATCTGCCACTTCGCTAGCTCGTCCCAACGCGGCCACTGAGGTTCCCGACCAGAGCCTTGTTCTGCTTGTCTGCCTCAGCAGACCAAAAACATCCACTGTGCGTGAACCTAAAGCCACGACATCCTGCAAAGCCGCAAAGCAACATCTGCGGACTCAAATGTCCCAGCAGTTCACTACAGCGCATCAGCGGCTCATAACCAAGAAATGCGAGTGCGATCGGCCCCTGTAGGCCCCAGGCTGCTCTGAAGGTGGCTGTCCGTTCCGCCTCACGGCTTCCAGAAGCATTCTTCAAGTTTCATGCAGCGGACCTAGCCCGATCAGCGGCACGACACCATGCTTCTATCACGGCTAACGGCCAACAGTGGCATATGCTGCGCATCCAAAAAGGTCGGAAGCGCCTGGTCGACGGTGTCTAACCATGCATCTGTCACCTTTTTCTCCTCGTCCTGCCAGGTCAACCTGTGCGGCTGCTCCCCTGCTGTCTGCGGCCTGTCCTTGTTGAGTACGTAGAAGCCGCTCTCATCAAAGTGTCCCTCCCTCATCTCTCGGCGCATGTTGAAGGGCTCGAGGCCTTGGCGACATCGAAGAGTCACTTCGACAAGAGCTGAGGCTGCTGAGGGCGAGGCGGATACCATCGTCGATGCTATTCAGTGGATCGTCTTCATCCACACCCTCGTTTTCGCGAATGTCCTGTCAGCATGTTCGAGGAAATAGTCACTCAGTCATTTTCTATCCATGCATATACATCCACCGGCCGTATGTGCTCAAGCCAAAATGTCCTTGAACTGCTTGACCCCCTTTCGAGCTTGCGCTCGCTGTGCCCGAAGAATCTCGAAATTGGACTCGGCTTCGACGGAGCCGCCATCCAGCTCCTCCGCAAAAGCCCTTAAACATGCGGAATCCACGAAATCGTGCAGCCCGGCTCTGGCCTGGAGCCTTTTTGCCGTGTCTGAACCCACACCAGCCTGGTTGAAACGGAAACTTCATCCAAGTCATAAGCGTCGTCGACGTCGCTTCCGAGCCGTGGGCCTGTGCTCCGCGCCCACCTTTGCCTCGCCCGCGACCGCGACCTTTCCCTCAGAGCCACACACACTCCAGACCCTCATCACAGACGTCACAGATCGTCACAGTACACGGAGATCCCTCGCATGCCCCGCCCCATTTCGGCTTGAAGTTAGCACAACAAGACACAACCTCAGAGGATTGAGAATGAATGCAAAGGCGCATTCATTTTCATGAATTGGCTGGAGCCAGATATGCTGACTAGATTCAACGTTATCTCTGAGACGCAACCTACCTGCACATCTTCAGGTGCCCATCGTGCATCAGTGCAGGTGGTTCAGTGCCGCTTTCATGCCGGAACCATGTTATTAGGACTTTGTTGCGCAGCTTTCACCAGCAACGTCAGCCCGTGTTCCGACAATGACAAGGGGGACAGCAGGGCTACACAGCAGAGAAGGGCAACGAAGTGTGATGAGCCCAAACCCCACAATCTCGCCGCTTCCTCTCTAGCCTTTCTAGCCGCACCTGGGCCATCGAGCCGCTCTTTGTCTTTGGGCGCCATGGCTTTAAGCGCCAAATCTGCTATCCGATAGGAACTGAAGTGAGGCTCTCAAGGCTTCAAGGAGCTCAGAGTCTCTGCTGGGACTCTAGTGGCTGCTTAGCATACACGGATCAATCAGTAATCAGCACAGATTTGGTGCAGGCTCAACATGTCTGGCTGCGCTGGGTTGCTCGGTGCTGGGCATGATTGGCAGGAGGCGATGCACGGCATGCAGCTATCTGCAAACGACAAATCTGTGCCCAATCAATGGCGAAAAAGACCCTGTGAGCTCATTTGGTCTTTCACTGGATCGAGGGATACAAGGGTCACAAGGAGGCTGTGGTCGCGGGGCCTGACGGCTGGTGAGACACTGTCGGCCACGGTCAGAGACCCGGCTCACTGCTTATCCTGCAGTCATAAACTCCACATGCAAGAAGAACATGATTCCACCCTCCCCGTGTCCGGCACATAAGGCACTAACGGCATGCGTTGGCAATGGTAGCAGATCGTCACGGAGTGCGGTATCTGCCTCAACAACCCCTCGATGGTACCATTCAGCTCCCCATAGCCAATGATGGGCTCTCGAAAGCCTTGGATTACCCGAAGGAGGGTGAGGTGTCAGAGGGCGACGTTCTTTCAGCAAGGCTACTCACACAGGGCTGCGCCAAGGGCAAAACCTCAGTTAGAGAACCACAGCTCCACTGTCGATGTTGCGGCTTTGCGTTATAGTAAAGTAAAGTTTGTCACATGCGGTGCAAAGACTGTGGCAGCCTTCGCATCACCTGCATTGTTTGCTACAGGCCGAGCAATGGTCCCGAACAGGCGGGCGAGCCGAGGCACAACAACCCCCACCAGTCCATCTATGGGCCACTCCTGCAGAAGTTCAGGGATGGGTCGTGACTCCAAGCAGAAAAAACGAGGCCTTGCTCTGGTCCCAGATGTGGATGAGGATGTGGTCCTGTGGCCCGACCTGGGTTCGTCTTGTGCAGGGAACTCTTGAATCCCTCGGTTGAAGCTCCTGCCGACTGCAAATTGTCCCACCCCGGCCCATGGCTCAATGAATTAGGCACACATGCAGCGACACACAGAGAGCAGCCCCACGGGCCCCGGTGCAAGAGCGAACTTTGTGGTCGAGAAGATGTGCCAGCCGTGCTCCCATGCTGCAGGCACACAGTATCCGTTACAACCGAGCTCTTCTGGTAAGCTTTTACAGTCATACTTGCGCTGGAGAACAATGCTACACACCGATGACTAATGAGCCGCCCAATCCTCATCTCCAAAACACTTAGCAGATGAGTGACCGACCGTCGCCACAAAGCCAAGCGCCTCCCTCGGCCATCACTGAAGCCGCAACAGCACATAGATTTCAGTGTGCCAGTTCAAGGCCGCCCCATGGCACAAGAACACTGAGGGTCCAGCCACACATGTACGGCTTCTTCAGCTTGAACACGGCTTCCTCTGCACTTCGAGACCGCCTCCGAAAGGGTGCGGTGCGCGACGGGGCATGGCGGGGGTGGACTAAATGCCTCAACTGGACAATTGCTCGGCCTGCTCGTCTTCTGCCTTGTTGGGAAACACAGTGACTTTGAGTACCGGCTGCACCTTGCTGCGCATCCGCGTGGAAAGCTTTTCCAAGCATAGCCGCTTCCTTGCATGTCCACAATGCAAGGCGCAGGACTATCACATATAAGAGACAACGACAACTAGACGACTAGCCGCACGACATGATGTTTCGGAAGTTCATGGCGATCGGAATTTGTCCCACCCACTTTGCTAACTAGCTGATCGGAATAAAGCCATTGGTTGAGCTCTCACCGTTCACAAGCTTCCATAGCTTTTTATGACTTTTACATTTGGAGTGAAGGTGATTTTTGTATGTGCTTGTAGACTTGGAGACCTTAGCAATTCCCTCTTCCTCTTCCTGTGCTATCTCGATAGTTCGAGCAACCGAGCGCGTCTGTTGCACGACATCTCGGGGAGGTTGGTGAGCCGAATTTTCTGATCGGGTGCAATGATCGGGCGCAAAGACTGCCAGCAAAACCCCGCATTACAGGAACAGGTCTCGAAAGCTCAGAGACTCAGAGGAGTCAGCTGCTGCACTCCGGGCAGTCAAGACAAGCCGCCGTGCGCTTCCTTCGGGATAGGAGGCTTTGAGCAGCCAGTCGCTGGCAATGGGCTTGTGGTCTGAGCTGGCCACTTCCTGAAAACTGTGTCCAACTTCCCCGTCTGTGTTCACGCCTACAAGCGACAAACAAAGCCTCCCGGTCCTTGCTGCGTGCAACCAAGTAACTGCTGCAGAGTTGAAGGACACAAGCTGCAAGCACCCGGTGCAACCAGGCATGCTGCGATGAAGGATGCGATCGCAGTACTGAGTTTCAGGGGCAGCCGGAGATCATATCAGGATCGAGATGCCCCGACATGAACAGTTCCAAAAGTCGTGCGATTCTGGGATCATGCGACAAAGCGATCATCCCTATCCGGAACAAAGCTCAGGCTGCGACCTGATCGATGTCTCCCTACGGCTCACGAAGTGGAAAGTCAACAAAAGACTCATGATGCAAGTACGGGACAAGCGAGCACCTGATGGAGAAGCCGAAACGCAAGGACAAATCAACGATTTCGACACCAAAACAAGATGACCAACTGACAAGTTGAACAGGTCATGAAGCACCAATGATTCAGCGACACTTCAGAATTTGCAAGCTCAGGCTCTGATGGCACGCGAGCTGTGTCGAAATTCACACCGGCTTTGCCTGAACCATGTTTATAGTTTACAAACCACGGGACACAAGTCTATAGTGCAAAATGATGCAAAATGGATATTCTTCAGCCAAATCGCCTTTCTGCATGCGATAGGTCGGCTCCCATGTTGGGACCAGCGCAGAAAAGCCTTGCAGGACTTTACCTGCAGTCATCTCTTGCTGCAGCTGGTCATACTTCCTCAGATTGGCGAAGTCCTGACGTGTCGGACATCCGGAAGCTGACTCTTGGAAAAAAAAGCTGTGAAGGGATATTCTGTGCAGGAGGGGCCTGGTTTCGGATTACTCACTGGAAGGAGTCCTTCGCCTCGATCAGCCGCATGATTTCGCGAATCTGTGCCTCCTGCACCTGCCGTAACGCTCAAGCCTATCGCGATGTCTCACTGCTGGCGAATGCGATTGCAAGATTTGCAACAGGCACCTGGTTCCCCGCTGCCTCTGACGCCAAGCCCAATACTTTTGCGGGTATGTCCAACCGATAATTCAAATCACCGAAGAAGAAGCCTTGGTGGCTGCACTGTGGCGGCACGCTATCACACCCAGTGGAAGAGGCATGAGGAGCCATGCGCGCGCACGCGCGCGCCACAAGTGCTTCTCAGCTGCTGTGATGCGTGCATGATGGGGCGTCGAGATCTCAGGCGAAAGGCACGGTCGGCAGATGTCAGCAGTCTGCTCTCCCCGGCAGAGTTTGCAAGAGCCGGCTCATGAAGGCTAGTCTCCAACTTGCACAACTGCATGTACGACGATGTTGGACGCCTAGATTATGTGCAACAGAGATGCTGCAACCCCTATAGGCGAAAATACATTGAGAAGCCCTGCCACATGCCCTGCCGCAGGCGAAGCTAAGTCTCCAGCAAAGCTCGGAAACACGCGTCCCCCAAAGAATTTCGGACACATCCGTGTTTCGGCGATGGAGATGCTCTGTGTGCGCTGCTAGGTGCACGGAGAGAAACGAAAGCCTCGTCTTTCCGCGCTGCAGGAACAGACAAGGCCGCCGAACTGTCTCCAACCCCAAACTTTGGCCGAAACTCGTGCTAAGGCCGAAAAACGTGGAGACAAGGCGTTTTGAGCGATCCCGAGCTGAACGACCAATCTACAACCACTGCTTTCATATTGACCGAAGCCCGCGGGATCAAGACCCGTGAGGAAAGCTGAACCAAGTTGCGATGTCCGACCAATCTGAAATTGGACGAGTAGACCACCTCCACAAAATTAATGAGGTGGGCTGAATGCCTCGACACTTTTCAATGATTATACCGGCATGTGGTCGCTTGCTAACCAACGGGCCTTTGTTATGAAAGATGTGGCCCAATCCTGTGTTCTCTCCGGACTTCTCCTCAGGCAGAGTGCAGATTTGCCAAAAAGATGCAGTAGAACTATGTGAGACTTTTGAACTCGTCTTCCGCGATTGCGTGCATCTACGACCTAACTAGCGCCCTGAGATTGCCCGCCAAAAGGTTTTCCAAGGCTCGATCTTGTCGATCGGCGGTGCAAACCTTGAGCTGCAGCGATCAAATCGCAGAATATTCGGTCAAGTATCTTCTGCAGAACTACTGTTCTGTCAAGGCGAGGAATGTTCGTTGGTCTCTGATGTTGGGGACATTCTTCAGCCCTGGTCGGGTTTAGACTACGCAGCTCCACATGCAGCACCCAACCATCTTGCAGCTTTACCTGCAGGGGACCTACTGTATTCGGGGTGGAACTGTCTTTCGGCTTCATCCCTGATGGGTGCTGGGGCACCATCGTGCAGATCCACAGACGGTCCCACATGCAGAACCCCTACTGGAGCTAGCGCTCTGGTAAAATAAACGAAATAGCATGAGACAGCGACGCTTCGACAGAGGCGTAGTCCTTTGAAGTAGGGAGACCTCCTACTGAGAACTGACCTTCTGACATCTTGTGTTTACATTGTCGAGCTGAACGTGGAACAGCTTACCTGACGTCAGAACAAAAGTCGGACTTTACCGACACATTGTGGCCTGCACAAGGCGCACCACCGATGGCCAAAAGACTAGGTTGCATGTTGAGGATGAAGAACATCATGAACAGCTTGGAACTCATTGGAACTCCGCTTGCTCTCGCGGCCCAAAGAGCTCAGCTTTCAGGGCTGAGAAGCTTGGAAGCAAAAAGCAGCAGCACCATGGCACCGCGCGAACTTGTCGCGAAGAGGCCTCGTCTGGGCTATATTTTGGCCCCCACTGGGCAAAACGTGCCATATATATATATATATATATAGATAGATATATATATATATATACTGCACCATA